AAAAAAAAAAAATGGGGGTGGGGGGGGGGGGGAGGAGGCAGGGGGATGTTGGTGATAATTTGGATTGTGGTAATCTTTGGATAAGATGAAGAGGGGTGGGATGGACGGGCTCGAAGTCGTATGTGGATACTGAGCTGTGGTTTATTTAGTCTTGTGAGGGGAGCTACGTGTCATGGGGTCGTGGAGTCAGCTGGATATACGATTGGGTGGCGTCGTGGTCACGTGACATTGTCATCGGTGTCATGTGTGGTTGTCATTGGTGTCATGTGTGGTTGCCGTTGGTGTCATTGGGTGGTTGCCATTGGTGTCATGTGTGGTTGACATTGGTGTCATGTGTGGTTGACATTGGTGTCATTGGGTGGTTGCCATTGGTGTCATGGGCGATGGTCACTGTTGTAAGCTGTAGTCGCATTTCCTTTGTGGTGTCATTAATGTCACAACTGGTGGCCAGTGCTGTCATGCGTCGTTGTCATTGGCGTCTAGTGCGAGTGTAACGTTATTAAAAGAAAATGTGACGAACAATTTTTAAATTGTTAAACACCAAGTTTGTTTGTTTGCTTTTTATTGCAGAAAGCAACTTTTCATGAATTGTAACTATGAATAAACAACTATTTTCAGATTTATATATATATACGAGGAATTTCACACAAGGGCCAAAATAACGGTTGTCAAGTGATATATTTTACAAATATTCACTATAAAATTCAAAAACCTTTAAAAAAAACTTGATGCCTGCATACATAAGTTCGGGTAAAGACTTTGTTTTCCGTTTTTTTGTTGAAAATGACACTCTTAGACAGCATTTAAACAAGACACTTTTAGACCACATATGAACAAGACACTTTTCATTTGAACGCGAAATTTTTAGACCACATTTGAACAAGACACTTTTAGACCACATTTGAACAAGACACTTTTAGACCCAAGTTGAACAAAAAACGTTTTAGACCACATTCGAACAAGACACTTGTAGACCGCATTTGGCCAGCGTTTTAAGCACATAATTTTAAAGAAAACTTTAAATTGGTTCCTGAGAAATTTAGAAAACGCCAAGCTACCAGCTTGTTGCTTATGTCTCAACAAATAAATACCAGAAAACGATCCAGATATGCCGGTAAGTCATGTGTTTGACCAAATATTATGACACTGGAAGCTGACCCCGATGAACTGACACTCGTGAGATGGCGTAAACTTCAACCTGACAGATAATTTATTAATACACCGTGCTCCGTTAGTTGGACAAATTCTGGCCAGTACGTGCGGTTGTGTGCTATCAAAGAGTCCACTACACACCAATTTTGACTTGGACCGCGTGCTTCTCAAGCACGTTGTTATCTGTTACTGTTTAAATGTACACGTCAGGTATGAAACATCCAACACGGACTGATTTTTTAAAAAAAATATCGGAAACACTAATTGAATGTTTCTAAACTTGAGAATGAGATCAATGAGAATGAGATCAATCGAAGTCTTCGGAGGAAAAAAAAAGCAGTGTTTAAACCCCTTTTACCAACAACCCCCCCCCCCTCCCACTCCCAGGGATAATCCTAAAACCCCTTGTCGCGAACAGTAATTGTAATGGAGATAACAGTCTCGATTTTTGTAACATGGCGGCTACCAATCATATTGAAAATTGAAATGTGTCTTGGTGATTAAACTCTACACAATTAATGTCAGAGGATCTCAAGATTTTGAATGGGGCATTCTTCTTCCACATAAATATACATGTATAAGCCGGAACTGCGTGTCATGGCCTCGACGCTGTCTGGGGGGGGGGGGGGGGGGGACGAGTTTGTGTTTAAGGCTGGAGCGGTGGACAGCCCGTTATTTAACTTTTACATCGCGGAGGGCCTGAAGGATCGTCGTCGGCCCTCAAGTAGTGACCAGTTCATTGTTGCCAGCATGCTGCGAACATTAGAGGTGTTCCTGTCGCGGTTCAGGACAAAGCTGGACAGCCTCCAACCTGTCATGTCACCCTACCGTCAACACTGTGCAACAAACAGGATGTTCTTGTGGAGTGTCGGTCTATAACACTGTGCAACAAACAGGATGTTCTTGTGGAGTGTCGGTCTATAACACTGTGCAACAAACAGGATGTTCTTGTGGAGTGTCGGTCTATAACACTGTGCAACAAACAGGATGTTCTTGTGGAGTGTCGGTCTATAACACTGTGCAACAAACAGGATGTTCTTGTGGAGTGTCGGTCTATAACACTGTGCAACAAACAGGATGTTCTTGTGGAGTGTCGGTCTATAACACTGTGCAACAAACAGGATGTTCTTGTGGAGTGTCAGTCTATAACACTGTGCAACAAACAGGATGTTCTTGTGGAGTGTCAGTCTATAACACTGTGCAACAAACAGGATGTTCTTGTGGACTACTACTAAAAAAAAAAAAGAAATTTAAAAAATCAAATATTGT